GACAATTCGGACAGTCCACCACGACGCCTTCCTGGTTTTCTGGCGCTGTGCTGTGGAGAAGCATTTCACCAAGACAGAGGCAATGAAACACATGCCCACACTCAAGCCTAGCCACATGATCTCCAGGCTCGAACTGAGAGAGACACAGTGTGCAAGTGGCAACGTGGCCAGCGTATGACTGGCGAGTCGGACTCTCAGGGATGGTTTGTGCAATCACCCGCGATGCTGCAGAAGAAGTCTGAGCATTGGCTTGGCGGAAGGCATGCACCTGGCTGAAGATGCTCACTGAGGCGGGGGTTGTCGCAGGCATTGTGGCTCTGGCAGGAGCAGACTGTGCTACACTGCCGGTTGGAAGCATGGGGTTGCTCGCCAAAACGTTTTGCGCTGGGGCGCTCACTTGCCGTGAGAATACAGAGGGCATTTGCAGTGACGTAGGCAGCCTACCAGAGTCTGAATGTCTGCGTTGACCCTGCATCTGCTGGGCCTGTGCAATGCCCTGCTGGGTGTTGCTAAACCATGTGGGCAAAGCTTGGGGTGTTGGCTCACGACGATATTCCGCAGGAAGTGGCGGCGGTTCGCGGCTCACAAACCCAAGAACCTCACTGAAGGATTGCGAAACGCCAACATTGCCAATGCCCGGAATTGTCCATGTAGATCTGGTCTCAGACTGCACTGCCTGCTGTGCCTGTGCCGAAGGCTGCGCATACAAGGGATCTTCCTGGTACCATTGCATCCACGGGTCCTGCTCTGTCTGCCAAGGATCGGGTGACATGTGATGCACAGATGGGGGCGCACTGGGTCTAAGGTTTCTTGCGGGTTCGGGTTCAGGTGGATCTACTACAGAACCGCCCCTAGAAGCCGCAGCAGAAACCGTGCTGCGCGGTGTCAACACGTTAGCCCACGATCCATCTGACTCAAAGGCGGCAAAGTGCAGACCTGAGCTTTGGACAGGAAAGGAAGGGCCGGATGGCTGAGGCTGTGAGCCTGCAGCAGACGCATTTGCTGGATTGTCCGTACGGCGTGGGCAGCGAGCCCTCAGGTGGTATGAAGACCCACACACGCTACATCTCAATGGCTCGCCATCCCTCCCGGTCGGGTTGACCTTACGCCCAAACCCCTTCCCTGAACTCTTACCACCTTTGCCCTTGGCCCGGAAGTAAGCTGATTGCTGCAAAGCCTCTCCTATGTTCAGGAAGCTGCTTCGTTTGCCTTTGCCTTTACCTTTGCCCTTCTTGCGCAAGGTGCGCCTGAGAGCACGCACGGGTTTCCCTGTGAAACGGCGCCATCGCTTCTTCGCATGCTGATACTGGCCAAACAGATACTCATCCACCTCAGCTGGGGCCAGACCACTCAAGTCGTCAACCGGCAATGCTTCATCATTGTCCGAGCTCGTTGCAGACTCAGTGTCCGAAGCGGCAGGGTCTCGCGACATTGCAGCGTAGGCCCAATCATCCACGGCTCCTGCAGAGGCACTGTGGAATGCATCCCATTGGCTTGCTGTCTCATTGGGGTTTTCCTGCCAGTGCTCGCCCGTTGACGAACCAGTGTCTGCTTCTGCAACAAAAGCCTGGCTATAATGAGCAGACTGACGAAGGCCTGAAGCAATATTGTTTGGAAACCTTTCAACGATATGGCCCATCCGCCGGAGATGATGGCCAAGCTGTGTGAACTCCATTTCAGTCGTCGGAAGTCTGTACCCGAAGGGTTGGGTAAGAGATTGGAATTGTTCGGCAGACACACCACATGCTCTAAGAAGAAGCAACGAAGCTGTCTCTAAGGAAATGGCACCACCGCCCTCGTCTCTCGCACGCTGCCGGGTAATCTCGAATCTAGAGATCAGCGTGTCAACTGATTCCCCAGACCTTCGGCTGAAGGATAAAAGATCCTGAGCTGCTCGCAGACGATTCTCTTCATCCAGCGGGGCGAAGCGCACCTGAAGCCCATGAAGCAAAAACGACACCGGGTCCAACTGCTGCCCATTAATAATGCCACCTTGGTATACCTCGGCAGGTGTCAGAGTCCGCGCAAGCTCACGCGCGGCTCCACCTAGTTGTGATATAATAGCAGCACATTGCTGGGCAGGGTTCAAGTCGGTGCAGATCGTCCAAAGCATCAAGTCTTGCATCCAACTGCGGAACGGCATGCTTCCTTCCATGCTGGGATCCCATCGCGGCGGCAACCGCAAACTGCTGGCACCACCTTGCTGTGGTTGATACATGAAGCACACCGTTGTAAGTGCTATACAACAAAGAAGAATAATACAAAGGATCTGAAGTCGAACAGTGCGCGCAGTTCCCATAAAGCCAAAGACCTTGTCGATAGCCGAAGAAGTTGCTGACTGTCCCTCTCCAGGAGACCCTTTCCGGCTGGGACTGACATCTTTGGCCTCACTGACGAATGCTGAAGCTCTAAGCGACGGCACATCGTCAGTGAGGCTTCCAGAAAGCCCACAAGTGGCGAAAGCCATCGCGGTGAAAAGGAACTGGCGCATCCTCGCCCTGGTCTGCAGGGCTCCGCTACCAGCTAGAAAAACAGAATGATGATAGAA